TCCCTAACGTTCTGTGATTCTGTGATACATACAGGAGACTGAGTCAAATTTGCTGTCTGCAAGGAAAAAATGGCATAGATAGAGTTAAAGTCAAAACACCAGTGTAACACAACTGTGCTCATGGAACGCATTTAACCTGAAAGTTACCATGATAATTTGACCACAAAAACTTTGTACAACTGAGAAACAAAAATGGCACACACGGTGTAAATTAAAGACTATTAACATACATGTAACAAAATGTAATTTTGAATGGGGGACATGTTTCCTGTGGGGTCCTGTGCTTGGTACATGCTCAATAAAAAACTTGAAGAAATCAGAGAAGTGCTTAAGGCAGTGGAGAAGACAGATCACCAACAGACAGCAAAATGCAATGCCCTACACCAAGGCAACAGAGCCCCGCTTCCAGGATGCCACCAGATCCAGAAATGACCCTGCAATGCAAACAGGAGCTTGGACTCAGCCAAGCACCGTGGTCATTGCATAAAACAATCCTTGCACATATTTACACAGCAATTTTAAGCAAAAATACAGAGATAGGAGGTTGCATATCTGTGCCAAAGCAGGTCTAAGTCTACCCCTGATGCCCACCATTGATCTACTGGACTGGCTTTCCAGAAGAGCTCCAAAGCAAATTAAGAGGCCAGAAAACTTTTGGGGTTATTTTTCCAAAATAAATTAATTGTGTTAAGTGTAAGCAAGTTTAACTGGTGATTTCTAAATACACACTACTCTCTTAACAATTGTAAAAGCAGCTAGCGCGCTCCATTCCTGTAATGTTTTAATCAGACCCGGATGTCTTCCTAAGAAATGCTTTAATCCAATTTACAAGGAATTTAACTGCAGCTTGTGTGTTTTGACAAGGAAATCAGAGTACCTGGTCACAACAATCACTTCCAACTTAATTCGTCCAATGTTTATGCTGAGATTAAAAATACCTAAATAACACAGCAACATGCACACAAACATTTTTGTATCTTAGCCATTTATATACGACTACTTATATTTCAAAATTAGGGCCCTGGAGCTAAAACCTAACTTTGTCTGGTTTGATCCTGTTCTACAGGATACCCATTTCCAAGTAGGGGCTTCTCTTCCAGCTGCCTCCAACAGCCTGCCCCTGCGGATGCCATGAGGCTCATCAGTCTCTGAACAGTTTGTAGCAGACTCTCTTTTCAGGCTACTACAAAAAACAGCTATTTTGTGTATCGAGAACTGAGGTTTTGAGAGCCAGGCCATAGCCCAACTCTCTTTAAAACTGCTCACTGCTTTCATGCATTAGAGAAAGTCTCAGACAGCTTGTAATTCTTCTTAGCCCAGATGTTAAGATCTTCATAAAACAGGGAGGAATTTAGCAGATTTGATGAGACCCTTCTGTCCTATTAGATGTGTTACAGGCAGTGTCAGGCAACAGCAAGTCCTACACACCAGAAACACACAACACTTATCCGTGCTTAGGGGTGTAGTGAAACAGGAGTACCTGCTCAGGGGCATCCCAGAATTTTGTTCCAGGCTCCTGCTGCGACAGATTTACAAATCACTCATTCGTGTGTCATTAAAGGTCTGCGGTTGTAGCACGTACCTCCCATTTGCTTGCATCCGATCCCAGATATCCACCAAGGGCTTTCTTTCCCCACTGACACTGAATTGGGTTGCAGATAGGAGCAAATGCCGATACAGACTGTTCAGAAAGCAAGCATGAACAAGAACATATGAACTAAGGAAAGCGATTTTGGATAACAAGCAAACAAAAAGCCTTTTCAAAACTTGTTTTGAAATTACTGCCACAACCCAGGAGTCCCTCAACCTTTCAAGTCAGGTGCCCTAACTATTATCCTGCTTCCCTCTTATTTGTTCTTTATAACCCCCCAGTTTTGCTTTGCTTTTGCACATCAGCCAAGCTACAAAAGGCAGGGCTAGATACCCTGTTCCTTTCCTTGTTGAGAGACACTGACTTGAATTCCCTTAAGCAGCAGAGAAGGATCTCAAGTCTACTGTTGGGTCAGCATGGTCAGAGTGTGGGACCATTTCACCTCCAACTGGATTTTGGCAGAGCATAACAAAAGCCTGAGGTTTACACAATGCAATGGACTCATGAATTTAGGTACCTCCAGGATCAGAGATCAAGAAAAGACCATTTCAGATCACAACTCCAGGTACTGGCACCAGAAGTCCAAGCCCTATTCCTGCATTTGTCTTCTGAATTTAGCCCTGGGACATCAATTTTCTTTTAGAAAATACAATTATCAGTTAAGAGCCAACAGTGAAAATGGAAATTTCTCAACTACTGGCTCCAAAAGATAAAAAGGAGAGATAAAAATAAAGCTTTATCTTCCATTCAACTCTCTTGTTGGACTGGGTGATCTTAAAGGTCTTTTCCAACCAAATGATTCTATGTTTCTATGATAACGCCAAGCTAATGGCACTGAGGAAAGCTACACTACTTTCAAAAATGCAGTTCCATTTTTGCAGCAGCTGACCACAAAGTGCAGGGCCAGGACAGCTCATGAAAGGACAGTCACAGAAAAGCAGAGTCCCTCACCTCTCAAACACCAATGCATGATTCTCCCTCAGAAATGCATTTTACGTAAGAGTATCTCTGAAGAAAACAACAGTATTTCCCTCAAGCCTCATGAGTCTACAGGAAAGGCAAATCAGTTCCAGCATGTTTGATTTAGGTTCAAGCAGCATACAAATGAACACAACTTCAGATACCTCAAATACTCCAAAAATCAATCTTTATGAAAGCTGACATGCAAATCTCAGGTGGGGAAAAAAAATGGGGAGGAGGTTGGGAACGTCCTCCAGATATTATTCCATGTGAAGTTCAAGTTCCTACAGTTACACTTGCTATCAGCTGGAGTTAATAGACTCTGCAGTAAATTCTAAGCAAACACAAATATAATGGTGACAAAAAGGTCTGCTGGTAATAAAAGGTCCCAAATGAACAAGAGAAGATTTGAGAAGATACAGCAAATCACAGAGCTCCAGAGTCAGAAGGACCCTGTCCACCTTTAAACATAACAGTTGGTTTGGAAGAGCTGTAGCATCATCAAAAGAAACAGAACTTTTCTTAACTTCTAAAATTTGGAGGGTTTTTTTTTTTTAAATTTCACTGATGCTCATATTCCACAGTGGTGTTTCTGGCAATTTTGTATATTATACTACTAGGGTTCAATGAACTGCTACAACTAAAACCATTTATGCATTTAATGCCATAACAGAACTTGGTTATTATGTTTTCTTTCTTCACTTTTCCATAAATCTGTATAAGCTTTAGTAGACTTCATATAAGCTGTATTATGTCTTACTTTGTACTTTCCAGGATTCTTCAGAGCAAGAATAAGAGCTCCATGACCTCCCATGGAATGCCCAAAAATAGACATCCGTTCAGGGTCAGTTGGAAAATTGGCATTTATTAGTTTAGGCAGCTGTAAAGGAACAACAGTGAAATAAAAACATTAAAGCAACTTGAGTATGTTTAGAAAAAGAAGTCCACAAATAAGCATTTTAAGGCCCGGGAGGCACTGAAACCAAAAGCACATCTTTGGTTCTAGCCTGACCTCTGAAATCATGGCCTGAAAGCAACCTGGACAAGACTGGAAAAACAAAAGGAAACAATTCCTCTGATAATAAGTAACTCAAAAGTATCTCTGTAGAAATCCATCATAACTCCATAACACACTATGTGAGAATCTCCTAATAAACATAGTCTCATTGTAAGGGATACATAAATATGTGCTCCTGTAAGTGACCAGGGTGTTAAATTGGACATTCACCTTTCTAATACTGTTTCAAGGGTTTCCTTTTATATTCAGTTAAAGGAAAAAAAACCCCCACAACAAAACCCCCGTTCCACTCTCCCAAGACAGACAGTGAAAACAGCCTAAATGAGCAACACAACTGAAGTGCTGGTGCAGTGAAATGCAGCGGGTCCCTCCAGAAGCAGCACAGCAGAGATTTTATAAAAGCAGAGGTCGCACAACTGATGAGTCAAGGTTAAAAGTATAGACCAGTCCTGCGACATCTCCAGCAGAAAGGCAGATTTGAGGAGTTCTCGTTCAGGCCCAGCCAGGTGTTATCACCTCTGTGCTGAAGTTCTCTCCCTCCTCATTTCTACCACATAACTGTTTGGGAAGGAAGGGCCTAACAACTGGGTAAATCCAACCACTGAAATAACCAAGGATTTAAAATGAAATAATAAACCATTTTTAGAAAAGAAGAGAGCAAAACAACCATCCGCAGGCTATCAAGCAAGCTTTGGAGCTAGTAACAAAGCACATGACTAAACCATGTCCCTTCCAGGAGAACCCAGCAGTGAAGTTACCTCATCCTTTATGTAGGAATACATCCTGTAGTTTGTTTTCCAAGGATCTTCAGTAGCATCCACATAAAAACCAGCACCGGTGCCAAAATCCCAGCTTTCATCTTCTCCTTCAATATTGCAGCCACCTACCATGAAAATGCTTTCTATAGTTACTGCCTTTCTTCTACTAGATGTTCACAACTGGAGAACCTGCCATACAAATCAGACACTCGGGACATGAGTTTATAAATCAGTATGTCCCTACACTTTTAAACATATGACAATTTATATTTTTATTCATTAGTACAGTGTTTTTAAGTGTTATTTCAACAATACTTTCAAAAAGCCACTTATGTATTACCTACAGATGTATCCAACGTCTAACTTGTTTCACTTCATAAATAGTGTACAGATCTTTCCTAAACTAATTCTCTAAAGCTTTGTCCCATTTACCCAGGGATTTATTCAAAAGTTGGCACTTATTAATTGATGCTATCAGCTTATTTCAGGTATTAGACCTCATCCTATCAAGTACAAGAAATTATGTGAGAAACAGAAACTGTAGAAAATTTTCTTTCCCCCAGGACAGAACCATCTATCACCAAATGGAGCGTCCAGACCAGTTTATGTGCTTCATGTGATGTCTGCTACACCTCTCTTTTTAAGATTCAACAGCATAACAACACTTACTATCATTTTTTAAGTATATAACTCTACCTTTCCTGCAATTCATTTCATTGCTCTGACCTATAACACTCCATAAAACTTAAGTAATTTCTTCTCTGAGTAACTGCAGGGTTGTATTCTCTTTTCCAAGGCTATATTTTCAAACTAAATTTGCAGATGTCTCCTTGAAAGTCAATACATCCCAACCAGTCCTGCCTTACTTTCCCTTTTGATTAGGCTGCGAAACCAGCGTGGTTTGCAGAAGAGACTGTAATATTTCAAGGTATATCTGACAGGAAATATTGGCCTCCCTTTCTCCAAAATGTTCCTCATTTCTGCAATACGAATTTACAGGAGTTTTCACCACTGTCAGGTTACGCTGCAAACCCATGTGCAACTTGACAGTCCCTGACAATTTGTGCAGATACCTGCCACCCTGTCACAGTGTGAAATCAGATTTTTACAATGATCAAGGTTGAGTTTGCTCCAGTGACATGCCCTTGAACACCAGGTGATTTTTGTAACTTGAAAGCCCAGCAGGCACAGGGACTGCGGGTGCTTATACTACATGTTGGATATAAAAACTCTGTCTTCAGTCCCTCTGAGATAAGACAAAAACTCAAAAGTCCTGCCAGGCAATGAAGGCAATGCTGATCCTGCTAAAAGACACTTAAGGGAAGCCTTGAAAGAAATAAATTTGAAAAAGAACCTCCAAAATACGGCTCAGCACACCTGTCTGGGAAACCAAACCCCTACAAAGAAGGACAAGTAAAGTCTATCAGGGCCTGACAGGTATTTCATGTTATGCAGTCTTTTTTCCCTATCCAGATACATCTCCTAGCTTTGGGAAGGTAATTCTCATTTAGTTGTAACTACACAGTTAAAAAGCACATAGAAGTGTTTTCACTACCTGTTTTCAGATCTCTTAATTTGTGATTACATTTGAAGTGCTCTTCACTTGTTTCTCCAGACAGCTCAAAGAGATTTAAGAACATTTGGGGGTCTCTGAGCTAAAATCTAAAGAGTGTAATATGAAACACATACTGAAAGTCATCTAAATAGCAGAGCAATCCTGATCAGTTATTAGACTAAAAGGCAAGAGAGAAGCTGCAAAGAAGGTTTTATAAGAAAATGGACAAAGCAATGAACTATGCAAATACAGTTACACATTGACAGAGACAACGTATATAGACAACACCAAAAATGAGTCTCAGTGTAATTACTCAATGTGAACAAAGCAAAGTCTAGTTACCCATCTCTGGTCTTCAGCAAATAGCAACAATGAAGTGTAAAGTTCATTAAAACACAAGTTTTGCTCTTCTGTCCCTCTTCCTCATTAGAAACATACATTTCTGTTCTTTGACCTGACACAACTTCAAAACCCAGATGTGAAAAATATTTTCTGGAAAGAATACCTCTTCATTCCCATACTGCCTGTGTTCAGATCTGACCCACTAAAGCTTGGGAAACATTAGAAGACTGTCATCTTTGTATACAGCACTCAAGAGACTTTAGCAGGATTCAGCAAATACTAAACATAATACACTGAATCCCCAAAAGACTGTATTTCCAGTAACTGCAGATCCACCATTTTCAGGTTTTTAATACTACACGTAAACTCGGACTCATACAAATAACAGCACATTATTTAAAAAAAGCTGTTCAATAACAGTCCCTTGCAGCTGCAGGGGGGAAGGTCTTCTGGCCTTTCTAAGTACGGGAATCCTCTGGAGACATGTATGTGATAGGCTTTAGAATACAGAGTACAACAAAAAGTAAACATTACACCTTTGTGTGACAACGCAGTTCTGCAGATGTTTTTAAAGTCTCAGCAAGCCACAAAGTGCAGGCATCTCTGATAACACATGCCTCTTGTTTTCCTTCTTCCCTCTCCTTCTTTGCGCTGAACTCAATGGCCCCTTTGTTCTAGTTTTAGTGCCATGACAATAGAAGTTTCAAATGTCAAACCTCCACTACCATGTTATTAAGAATACAGGCAATGTAATCTAGCAAACAATGCACGATAGAGAGGTGAGGTCACATTCTGACTCAGGTGGGCAACACACTTTGTTGCAAACTGCAGCACTCCATTCTTTGAGGATAAAGACAGTGAACCTCAGTGTAACTGTTACAACTTACGTGGGCTTGTGTCTGGTGCGACTACAATAAGGCCATGCTCTGCTGCAGCTTGATGAAAACCAGCTTTCGTTATAAAATTCTGTTCTGTGCAAGTTAACCCTAGAAAAATAAAAATACCACTGGTTACACATTGCTTTTTTGACAAAAAAGGTTTTGAAAAATAAGAGTGATTCCTATCTCCATAAACATGGAAAGGTCTTTTCACTGGTTTCAACAATACTTAATGATCTACGGAAACAGACACGGTTGCACTTTCACATCCAGTCACACTAATATTTGAATAAAAACAGGTCAATGCATACTTTGTACCTCCTTGAGTGCCTACTCATGTGGCATATACAGTTTCCTCAAGTAGCGCGTATTTAAATTGACCGACTAGAGACACTGCTGCCAAGGTTAACACTGTTAGCTTCTGACATCTAAACATGCAAATACATTTTTCTCTCTCCCACCACTTCAGCTGTTTGCATTACAGAATTCGACACGTGGTCTGACAACACATCCTTTAGACAGGATAAGGGCCTGTATGCACACTGGCTCTAAACCCCACAGTAATCCATGTCTTTGGTACTGCAGCAGGCCCAACTGAGATAAATAAGTCATTTCACAAATCACTCCAACTAGCTATTTTGTCAAAGGAATAAATATACTCATTGTAAATTAATACAGTACTCAAAGTAAATGTGATTTCCAGGAGATGCTCTTTTGTAGAATGCAAGAGCTGCCACTGTAGCACCTCTGCACCAGGTTTTCAGTAATTGTAGCACAGTAGCTTAAACATGCTTAAGATTATCTTTTTTAAGTTACTAAAATTCACGTTACTTACCCGAGAGCCAATATAGCACAGGACACTTTCCAGTTTCTGCTTTTGGAGGCAAGTAGATTCCAAATTTCATTTTGCATTTTAGCTCTGCACTATATTAACAAAATACTCCTTGTTATCACCACTACTTAATTAACAAGGTCACTAACATTAATAAAGTTGACAACACATTTCATTCAAAGAGAGATAATTATGAATTATAACAACTAAGTTAAATAAAGCAAACAGCAATTTAAAAATTCAGCCTTAGCCTCTGGAATTGACAACAGCTAACCTTCCTACCTTGTTCTGAATATACTTAAAACAGAGACCTACACATAAGCCATGTTTTTGCAGTGCTGTTAACTGTGAACAGTTTGAAAACTGAATTTTGAACCTCAGCAATATTTAACTTGAGCTTTGTCTATTAAATTGGAAAGCAATTTTTACTGAGGAACACATCCACATAACTTGCAGAACATGCCCCAGCAAAAGAGGTTTTCAATCTGCTAAGTCTACACACCAACCAATTGCCCAATACTAAACCATAAAATTGTCAATAAATGCTTATCTAAGCTAATGGAGCTTCATTTTCAAAGGTAAAAATACTGGCTTCCCATCTCAGATCTGCAGCACTAAGTATACCAGACACGTTAAACATTAACACAGAAATACAAGGACACAGCCAAAGCAGCAGTAGCCAGAATTCCTTACTGAAATACGGCTATTAGTGTGAACACACTATTTTCCTGCAGACTGAGACCACAGACAGCAATGATAGTATGGATTCAGTGCGACATTCTAAACATCTAGGTTGCTTTTGTCATGTACCTGTCATGTTCAAACACCTTCTGGAAACCCTCAAAGCATTTGTTGCTGGAAACCTGCTTCAGTGCCATGGCTCAAACTGGAGGGGGGGGAAAAAAAAGTTAAACTTGAAAATAAAACAGTCCTGGACTTAGAGTTAGTTATGAGAACAGAAAAGCTGACTACAACTTGAAGCACCCTTGTTTAATGTAATGGTTTATCAGAAGAAAGAATCTCCTGCAAATACTTTCTGATCTTTCATTAACTTTCTATTTCCCCATAGAAATGAAGGGGCAGCTGAACTCAAAGCCTTCCTGCTTTTCTAATCACATTTTTAATCACCTTTACCTCTGCAGTAACCGTACCTCGTTCTTTGTCTACCAATGCTGCTATGGGACAAGAAATCTCTCATGTTGTGGTTACACTGGAGCTGCCTGCAACGTGTGGCCAGGCTGCTACCTCCATGATCGCCACACAGGAGACAAACCTGTTCCACCTTTCCTTCGCTATTTGTGCCAGTATCCAGCCACTAATTATCACAATACTGAGGACTGTAATGATCTCTGATAGAAATTAATTACCTTGTTTTAAAAGTCTGGGGGATGGCAGAAACACAGGCCTCACAGAGAAGAAGGTGGCAGCTTATTTCCATGGGAAATGGTACAAAAACTAAACGTAAAGAAAGACTCATGGAAGTTATAAAACAGCTGGGAGTGCACTCGTAGCAAACTTTCTAAGGAAACTGAGGAAGGCTGACACAAACGGAGACACTGTCAGTTTGCAAAGCCAGTTAGGGAGCTGAAAGGGGAAGTGGCCTGAAGGGTCAGCACACAAGAAAATCCTGAGGAGAAACCAGGTAAAACCAGACCAGGTAACCGATGTCAAAATGAAAACGTTTCCTCCCTCGTACCTGTGCACTCCTGTGGCTCAGCGGGCACGAAAACCCGTGTACCATGGAGAGCCCTCAGGGCCTGTTCATTGCGTTCCACCACCCCTGCTGGGGCTGGAGCCGAGGGGCGCACTACCCAGGAGCGCGTTACATCTCGCCACAGGCCGCTGGAGCAACGCACAGGGCCCCGGCCTGGGACGCCCATTGCCGTTTCCACACAACCAGTGCTGCCCGCTGCACCGAAGCGCTCTCCTGCGCCTCCATTTTCACTCTCTCCGCTCCGTTATAGCCACAGGCCGCGATCCCTCCCCCTCGCCCGCCACCGCCGTCCCGCTCTCCCTGTAGCGAGACCCCGGCCCGGCCGCGGACTGTCGTACTCCTTGCCCTCAGACTCCCGCCCCTGCTCCGGCTTGGCGACCCCTTCCCCTGCTCCCTTACCGCAGAGGAGCGCCGGGGCCGAGCAGCGGAACAACGCAGGCGAGAGACGGCCCAAGTGCGGACGAGACTTCCCACCGCCCCGCCCGTGGGCTCGGCGGGGCGTTTAGGGGCGGCTTCCCGCCTGGCGTGGCGATGGCTGAGCTACGGTGGCTGCTGAGCTCAAATGCACGGCCCTGGGGAGAGCTGGGGGCTCTGCCGGGTCTGTGGGGGCCGCGGGTGCTGCTCCCCCCATCCTCACCCACCTCCAGCTCTTCCGCCCGAGGCCAGAGGAGAGCGAGTGTGTGACCTTGGTGCCTTCATGCCCTGGTGCTGCAGAGGTCGCCTTCCTGGCTCTGGAGAAGATCTTGAATTGTCAAATGAAGAAAGAAATAAAAAATTAATTCAGATAATCTAATAATAGTGAACTATTCAAAGCAGCAAGTATTCCTGTTAGCATTATTTTCCCTTGACCCCCTTAAGGTTCAACAAGGCCAAGTCCCGGGTTCTGTATTTAGGTCACAACAACCCCATGCAATGCCACAGGCTTGGGGATGTATGGCTGGAAAGCTGCCTGGAAGAGTATGTGGGGGTGTTGGTTGACAGCCAGCTGAATATGAGCCAGCATATTGCCCAAGTGGCCAAGAAGGCCAAGGGCATCCTGGCCTGCCTCAGGAATAGTGTGGCCAGCAGGAGCAGGGAAGTGATCCTTCCACTGTACTCAGCACTGGTGAGGCCGTACCTCAAATACTGTGTTCAGTTTTGGGCACATCACTACAAAAAGGACATTTAGATGCTGGAGCGTGTCCAGAGAAGGGCAGCAAAGCTGGTGAAGGGTTTAGAACACAAGTCTTAGGAGGAGTAGTTGAGGGAGCTGGGATTGTTCAGTCTGGAGAAAAGGAGACTGAGGGGAAACCTTATCCCCCTCCACAACTACTTGAAAGGAGGTTGTAGTGAGCTGGGGGTCACTCTCATCTGACAAGTAACAAGCAATAGGACAAGAGGAAATGGCCTTAAGTTGTGCCAGGGGAGGTTTAGGTTGGATTTTAGGAGGAATTTCTTTACTGAAAGGGCTGTCAAACACCAGAAGGTGGTGGTTGAGTCACTATCACTGGAGGTGTTTAAAAGACGAGTAGATGTCATGCTTAGGGACATGATCTAGTAGCAAACTTAGGGTTGGATCAATGGTTGGACGCAATGATCTTAAAAGTCTTTTCCAACCAAAACCGTTCTATGATTCTCCAAGAATTCAAGGGGGAAAATGTTGCTGAAATGACCAGAATATGGACCACTGCATTATTATCTTTTAAATGTTTTACTTCTCCTCAGTATTTCAGTGTTCTTCATAGCAGCTGCTGCCTGACAGACTTCTGATTTTGTAGTAAAACCAAATTCTAGTTTAGGTAGTTTTTGTCACAACACTTCACTTGCAAGATCACAAAGGAAACAAGATACTTGGCAGTGCTTTCATCTTACTCCTAACTCAGATTATTATTTTTTTTTAATTTGCAATGAAACATGCCCATCAGTTGCCAAAAATGTGTCCTCAGCAAAGCTCTCTCCATTTTTTTAGCCTCATGCCATACACTGCATTAGCAGTAACTATTTTTGCCCATAACACTTTGCAGTCTGATCATCTGTTACTTTGCCGATGTGACAATAGTTTGTTTCTATTTTTAATTCCTAATTCTAGCAAGGTGCAGTACTGACAACTTTGTCCCGCCACTACTTTCTACTCTTCCCCAGCAGATCCATTTGGACTGCAGCTGCTAGACCCAGGACCTGGGCCACCCATCCTGCCTTCCAGGGTAGCGTTCCTGTTCTTGCTAGTTTCTCTACTTGAATGTAGCTGGTCAAATAGTCTGACTCTGAGCTGTTTAAACTTTCTTCTCTCAATTTTCCTTTTGCAAGACAAGTTTAATTTCCCATTAATCAAATTAAAATGTGTTTCTTCACTAGTATTTCTCGAACACTCTTCAGGTTGTTTCTTCCATCTCTATCTGTGTGCATTTTGTATCTCTCTTAACATCCTATTCTCACTAGCAAGATGTTGCACAGTTAGTTTGTTAATTGATCTAAACTTTAGCCCAGTCTGTTTTCTCTCTTGTGTGTCATTACTGTCATCTGTGTGCCATTACACACAGATCATTTTCCATGGTGTCTGCAATTGTTTTTAGCTACTTCTCTCCTGTCAGTATAAAACTTGCCTATCTCGGCACTGATGCTAATAAGATTTTGATGTGTTCCTGGTCTTCCTGTCCAAGTCTCTTAGGTAACCTCTGTCCAATTTGCTCCCATTTCAGAATGGCATATTCAGAAGGATCTAACTGGCAGCCTGCTGATGAGTTTCTCTGGCTTCTCTATGTCTCCTTGATTTCAAGATATAAGCATTATTTTGTATGTCTTTTCAGTCAAAAAAGACTCAAATAAATGCACAGGTAAATAATGTAAGAGCTGTGTCACAGCCCTCCAGAGAGCTGTTTTCATGGCATGTAACTGAGTGTGTGCAAGAATGTGTGAAGTGGAAAGCACACTGGGATAGTGTTGAGAACGATGTAAGGTAGAGAGAGTCAAGCTGGGGCACTTTCCTTGGTGCTGTGATACAGAACTTTAGTATCTTTGGTTATGCATGTTTGTTTAATGTTATTTCTGTATCCTTTGAGACAGTGTCTGCATCTGTCACCAGCTTGGCCACACATCTGGATACTTGCTTTTCCAAAGTTTTTGTTGCTGTAGTCTGAATTAAGGATGGTAGTAGCTAACCTCTTTTACCTAATAGCTGTGAATTCCACCTCCTGCTACTGCTTTTCAGTCATTTTTATTTCTCAACTTTTTGTATGTGATCTCATCTTCACTTCGATTATTCAGACCACTGAATTCACGCTTCACTGTCTGCTTTGCCAGGAGATTATTTGTATGCCGTTCTTTTCCATAAATAATTTTGTCCGTGTTCTTTTTAGTAATTGTTCATAATTTAGTCATTTCTGATTGTAATATCATATATGTATAAATTATCTTAAACTGTCCAATACCATCCTATCAGTCATTTCCATGCAACATATGCAGCTGGTAACTCTTATTCTTCGGTATATTTCATGCTGACTTGTACTGGCACAATCTGCTTCAAGGCTTTAGCTTTTCAAGGGAGAATCTTTGCAAGGGGGAGAAGGAGAATTTTCTGCCATTTCATTGATATTGATTTATTTTTCTATTTCCCTTTCTTTACCATGTCCATCTGTCTTACCATTTGTCTCTAATGGAAGTTAGCTTTTCCAAAGTTTTCTTTCACATTGGTTTTCTTTTACACTGTCAAGATTTCACCTCGGTGCAACTTGTCATGCCATTAACTTCCGTCCCTTCAATGTAGTTCTTCACTTTTTCCCCAACTTGCCCAAGGTGCTTCTTAGCCAAGAAAACCCATGGCAGAATCTAGAGACTATACACCCCCACGTATTTTCTCTGCTTATATTGAGTTGTTTTTTCTTCTTTGCTCCATTCCCTGCTTTCATTATTTCCTTTTCTTTCATCAGAGGCTTTGGGTGTTATTTGAGTCTGTAGGTCTTTTGGGAGGCAGTGTTGTCCTTTGGTCTTGCTTGCACTGTAATGCAAGTCACAGTGGTGTCAATGCTAGCTGTCTCCTCTTTGTGTGTCCTTCACAAGTTTTCTAGTTCTATAGGAAAAAAATATCCAGTCTGTAATAAGAACCTAATTTGATTAAACAGATTAGCAAATGAAGATGTTTCCATCAGCAGCTTTGTGAATTTGTCTTTGGTCGAGTTACACAATCTCTTCTGTGCCCAGAGGTGA